ATCACTCAATCCATCCCAGAGATTTCCTGAAGCTCCCTATAGTCTCAGAAATGAATGAAGAAATGAATCAATTAGTTACAAACATATTTCAATCTATATGCCAGGTGACCTGCAGGAAACAAAGAAGGAAGAGTGCTCACATTTATTTCACACTTAATATGTGCTAGGAACTTGTGCTGAGCACTTCAAGTGCATGATCTATTTTGTTTTGTTCTATTTTTTTTTTAAACAATCTTAGCCCTAACCTGTTTGGTTCATTAGATAGAGCATTGGCCCATGGACTAAAAGGTCCTGGGTTCAATTCTGATCAAGGGCATATACCTCAATGCCGGCTCCATACCTGGCCCTGGTCAGGGTGCGTGCAGGAGGCAACCAGTCAATGTGCCTCTCTCACATTGATGTTTCTCTCTCTTTCTGTCTCTCTCCCACCCCTTCACTCTCTCTAAAAACCAATGGGAAAATGCCAGGCTCACCAGCAGACCCTGAGCCTCGGACGAATAGATTACTCTGACACACATTTCTGTGAAAGAGAGGCAAAGGGGCCATTTTGCTTTAGAAGCAAAGAGCCTCAATTGCCTGCTTCCTTAGGCTTTTATTGTTAACAACAGCTTGCACTAAAATTAACTATTAGATACAATCAGCTGGATAAGTATGCTTGAGAAAGCACCTATACCTGTAGTATCTTTCAAACAAGGGCATTTTGAAGTCTAACCATAAAGATTCTAGTAAAACACCCAGGGGAGTCAGACTTGTTTGGAAAAGTCAAGGCAGGATCTGCAGACTTCAGCAAGGTACCCTAGAGGCCTCTGACCTTTCAGAGAATCCTTCTTATAGACTTTTCAACTAAGTCCCATGCTTCCCCACAGAAAAATACCCTCAGATGAGGATTAACAAAAATAAATAAATAGAAGTTAAAATAATAATTTTTGCCGAAACCGGCTTGGCTCAGTGGATAGAGCGTCGGTCTTCGGACTGAAAGGTCCCAGGTTCAATTCTAGCCAAGGGCATGTACATTGGTTGCGGGCACATCCCCAGTGGGGGGGTAAGCTGGTCGACGTTTCTCTCTCATCGACATTTCTAGCTCTCTATCCCTCTTCCTTCCTCTCTGTGGAAAATCAATAAAATATATTTTTAAAATAATAATAATAATAATAATTTTCAGTGTTGCCCTATGGAGAATAGATATGACATTGCCATCCCATTTTAAAACTGAGGGACTTGAGGCTGGGAGAGGGATTTGCTCAAGTTCACAGTTAGTATGAGGCAGAACAAAATTTCAGACCCAGACCTTTCTGACTCCAAAGTCCATGCTCTGCTCACTGTAAAATGCCTAAACCTGCATTTAAGGAGCTAGTCCATTTGAAAAGAAAGAGAAACTTTGTAAAATCTCACATATTAAAATCTGTCCTCATTTTGAAAAGCCTGGAAGTTTTCTAACAATTCTCTCTAGGGAATCCAGGCAGAAGAGATGCTAAACCTGCAAGATCATTGGATTGCCTATTAAATAATGCAGTCCTTAGAGAGAAGGACGCTAAAGAAGTCACCATAGGAATGTGATGGGTATAGTGTTTGTGGTTTTAAGAATAAAGAGAGACTTCCAAAACCAGCTATTTTAAGATTGAAGTAGAAGCTTGCCAGAACAGTAGATAGGATTGCAGACTGGAAACTTGAACTCTGTTTGTCTGGTCATGCTGTCATAAAATACTAGTGGCTTATTAAGGTCTTGTTACCATGCCTTGTTATGTACATTATCTCCATTTAACTTTCACAGTCAATATAAAAGACTATTATTATTCCCAATTTTATAGGTGAGGAAGCCAGAAGTCAAAAAAGAAGCTTATATTTACACTAGGGGGGCGTCCCTCAGCCCAACCTGCTCTCTCTCACAGTCTAGGAGCCCTTAGGGGTAGGAGCTGACACAGCGATCGGGAGGGGGTGGGGAGGCAATGCCCCCATCACACCTCTGCTGCTGCCTCTGCCAGTAGCACAAGCCTTGGGCCAGTCCTGGGCAACTGGGCAGCCACCATCCAAAGGTTGTCTACACCTTGGCCAGCCCTGGATGGCTGGGGGGCTGAGGGAGTTGGGGGACTCTGGATGCAGGCGCGGAGTGGTGTGCCCAGCTGTGCTACATGCCTGCTGCTCCAGCAGGGTAAAGGGATTGGGCGCCGCCCATCTTTGATGGTGTGGCAGTCAATTAGCATATTTCCTCTTTATTAGATAGGATAGCTCATAAAGATTAGAACTGAGACTCAAACCCAGGTCTTACTCCCGAGTTGATGGCCTTAATGTGCCCCTCTCACATAATAATAAATGGAAACTACTGTGTTTTTGAAAGCATCCAAAAAGGAAGTCTGCATTAAATAGCAATTTATAATTTTTTTAAAAAGAACTATTGGGTCTGGATATTTTTTTCTCTTATATCAGCCTCTTCATATTCCTTTTTAGCATATCCATTCTTTTTTAAATCTTTGTTATTTTCCCACATCGAACCCCTCCTATCCTACCCACCCCACCCCAGGCCCTCACCATCCCTTTGTCTGCATCCATGGGTTATGAACATATGCTACAGGGTCTTTGGTTCATTACCTCCCACCCGCTCAATCTCCCGTTGCCCCCCCCACTTCCATCTGAGATTCTGCACTCTGTTCCATGCACCAAAGCATATCCAAAGCATATAGAAAGAGGCCTCAAAGGAGTATGTTGTTAATTTGCTTAGAAAAGTTAATCGTTAAGAGTGTTAACTTCTTAACTGTCCCCATATTCTAATAGATCTAAGGGTTCTCAATTGGGGCTCTAGTGAAGAAACCACCCCACAGCTAATCTACTCCGTGGACCTATCCTTTCAGAGAACAATTTGAATTAAAAAGTGCAAGACAGATGTTTAGTCAAGTCCTATAGCTACACCAGACTACCGGGTCATAATAAGATTGCACACACACACACACACACACACACACACACACACAAGAAATCATGGTACCACAAGAGAATAAATAGTAAGTACTACGCGGATGCAGAAAATTAGATGTTAATGGCAGTTAGGAGAGAGAGATCTGCTGCAGCTCTGGGGGTCAGGAAAGAGCACAAAGATTGGTCACGAGGTTTTGAGTTGCCCAGATCTGGGCTTGAATTCACTTTTTTAAGGCCTTGAGTGAGTGATTTGACCTTTATAAACCCAGCTTCCTCATCTATGACACAGGAACTCTGAGATCAGATAATGAATGTAAAATATTTATCCTGGTGCTCTGCTGCTCTTAGTGTAATGTAATTATCTGTCCGACTCCTCCATTAAATTGTGACCTTTTCAAACACTGGGTCTATGTCCTGCTCATCGCTGTGTCTCTCAGCCTTTGATACTGTGCATAAGTTCACCCCATTTCTAATGTTTCCGTCTCTGTGACAGATATCCCATAATCAGCTTACTCCTGGCCTCTCTGGAGCCTTAACATATTTCACAAGGAGAAGTGAATGGTTTGCCTGACTGGTGGGTCAGGAAGGGCTTACTACACACCACTCTTCACATTCTCTTGGGAGCATGCAGTCTCTTCCACACCATTCATAGATTCTACCTTCCAGTGCCACGTGACCAAGTGGGCAAGTCAGCCTAATTCTAGGCTCTAGTCACATGAAACACATTTTCACACAAATATTGAAAGGTAAAGGGACACCTATCTAGAAAGGAATATTAGAACCAGATTGTGGAAAAGATCTTATTAATATCTTCATTACAAGACATTCAGGCAGATTCCTTAAAACATATGGGTATTGATCAAGAATGGAAAAATTCTACATGACTAAGCCAAAGTAATACTTGCTTTGTTTTTTATGTTTGGACATTTTTGTTTTGTGTGTGGTTTGGGAAAGGGGGAGGGAGGTTTGGGTGGTTTTGTTTTGATTGTGTTGCAGAGGTAAGATTAGGTATCAATATTTTACATTTTATGCAGACTTCATCTTGTGTTATTTTTACAGTTTACTTTATACTAAGGCACAAAGAAACCTGTTGCTTGATGAATAGACTTGCTAAAGCAGTTTTCCCCAGCTGTGGTCCAGGGGTCTGCCCCAGAATTACTTTCAGGGCTTTTCAGGATGCAAATTTCTATGCTTCACCTCACATCTGTCAAACCAGAATCAGGTATTGGGGGTTGGAGCCTATGAATATGAGTTTTACATTCTCCCCAGGAGATGTTTATGATAACTGTATTAAAGGCATACCTGCTAACAGACAATGTAGCCAATTTAAGCATTCATAGGAAAATATATATTGTGTATGTGTGGTTATTTCTAAACCAAGTTCTTGGCCATTCTGAATACTGTTAGTCTTTTATTCCTGCAGACCAGGTCAGCCCTGCTCATTCAATAAAGGATATCATCACAATCCCAGCGGGGGCCCTGGCCAGCCAGCTTGGTTGTTTAGAGCATCAACCCATATACCAAAAGGTGTGGGTTTGATTTCTGGTCAGGGCACATGCCTAGATTGTAGGTTCAATTCCTCGATTGATGTTTCTCTCTCACATAGGAGGAGTCTCTCTCTCTCTCTCTCTCTCTCTCTCTCTCTCTCTCTCTCTCTCTCTCTTTCTCCCTCTCTCTCTCTCTCATCTCTCTCTCCCCTCCCTCTCTCTGATCAATAAAAACATATCAGATGAGGATTTAAAAAAAAAACAAAAAACAGCTGGGCCTTTTTATATATGTGGCCATTTTGTGTCTTACTGATTATAAACAAAAACTAGAAAAATTATAGACACTTTTAAAACCTTTTAAAAATTAGAGACCACGCACTTTTAAAAGAACAGCCACAAGAAGAGCCCTCAAGATCCTTCTGAAGAGTCACAGCTCCAGCAGTTCCCTCTGGGCTCTAAGTGACTTGGGGTCACAGACAGGAACTTCCACACAGCACTGTCCTGAGGTGTCGCTGCAAGCTTATACCCATGACACTGCCTGCCCTCTGTTTTGGAAAGTGTGGGGAGACCCTCTGCTTTAACCTGCTATATTCCTCTTTACAGATCATGCAACAGATGAGTGACCACCGCTACGACAAACTCACTGTGCCTGATGACGTGGCTGCAAACTGTATATACCTGAACATCCCCAGCAAAGGCCACGTCCTGCTGCATCGAACCCCAGAAGAGTATCCAGAAAGTGCAAAGGTAAAAAAAAGGGGGGAAAAAAGCATCCTTCCTGGCCATTGCAGCTGACTAGGCTTCCCTGACAATCTGCCTTCAGGATTTTTTCATGACGGAGTGACAAATAGCAGGGGCCTCCTTTTCCTCCTACATCTAATTTTTAGAAAGGTAGAAATGGTGATATAAGGTAGGACCCAGGGAAAGTGTCTTTAACTCACTCTTCTCGTTCATGTTCTGGGTCACTGGTACGTGCGCAACGATTGCCATGGCCATGCCTGGTGTTCAGAGCTTTTAAGGAAGTACGTGTGCTCCAGCTCGGATTGAATGCCCCTCCCCACTCTCAGTTCTCAGGAAGCCCTGTCACTGTTTTCTGACAAGTCAGAGCTGACCCTCATCAGAGGGTCATTTATTCCCTCAAGGCAGAGAGAGACACATGAATGACTCAAGGAAGTAGCTAAAGAGTCTCTGTGTTTGTGTTCCAACATGAGAATTGTACCTAGATATGGAATTTTTTCCTGGTCTAATGAAATCTCCCTTGCCCTCAGGGCACTCTGTCAGTCTCATCTGTACACTTTAGAAATTTCAATCTAATCCTACCAAGCAGATAAAACAGTTCCCATCCATAGATCTTTCAAGTGTCCCTACCTCTTAGGCATTCAGCATCTTCATCTCAGCCCTGCTATTTATCCTAAGCATTACAGAAGAGTTTTAAGTAACCATTGATCTTTTTCTTTTTTTTTTTTACATATTAGGCTTAAAATTTTTTAGAAAACATTTAATATCATCTTTTCAATATGCAATACTGCTTAATTTCTTGGCTTATCCTCATAACCCATCTCCTTCTTAAGGAAAGAGAAGGGCAGGGGATCCATAGGCAATATTTCTCTATGGCTGACAGGGTGAACCTGAGAAAATTCAGGACTTCTGACCCCAGACTGGGCTCAGCTAGCTCTGGATGAATGATGGGTCTCATACTTGAATTTTAGCAGCAAGGTTGTTAAAAAGAAGGATTCCTCGACCCCCACCCTAAAACCTTTAATATCAACAAACACTCATATCCCAGATTCACTTGGAGTTTCCCAGCTCTGGATCCTCTATGCCTTTCAGCCACACTGATCACCTGACAACTAGGTGAGCATTAACTACTTCTGAATTTAGCCTTGGTCATCACCGAGGAAGATAACATCCTTGTGTACTGAGGTCTTCCCCTGTGCCAGGCATGCTACATGCACTACCTTATAGCCCAGTGAGGGTGCTGTTCTTACCTCAATCTGAGAAGAAGTAATCTAAGGCTCAGAGGAATGTCACCTGGCTGAAGTCACACTTTAGCGAGTAAATTGACAGAACTGGGTTTGGCATCCAACTCTGTCCGGCTCCCACCCTCTTAGCCACTGTCTGAATTTTAAGAAACAAAGCGCTTCCTGAAGACGTATGATTGATTGTTGTTAGGCAGTGTGTTTTCAATTGATTTTGTGCTGCAATTGTTGTTTTTCATGTGCTTTATTTGATCATCCGAGAAAAATGTATGTATGGACTGTTAATTAGAAGTTTTGACACATGCTTTCTATGAGTGTCAAAAGATGCTGTAAAATTCACACCTGTCATTTAAAAGCAGTTTGACCTGAGATGTTTCACATAAATAATATTTTCCCCAGTTTTTCCTAGTGGTATTGGTGAGGAAAGAAACATTAAAGTAAGATTATAAGGGTTTTAAAGTGTGGGGAGAGAGTAATATTCAGACTGAAAGCATGGCCACTGCCTTTCACATATCATTGAATCTAGCAATGACACTATCTCTACTACCAACCACATTCTGACACATCTCTGGGTCTGAGGTTAACCAAAGCTCCTCGTGGTTAACCAAAGCTCTCTGGGTACGGCTGTGGGCACCCATGCGGTCTACATTGCATGCACATTGTGGGTTAGATGGGTGAAAAGCCTAAATTCCCAACCAAATTAATTTTCTGCACCAGGTGTGGAGCAGGGGACAAGACAGATGCAGAATCACAATCCTTCTCTTCTCCCTTTGCTTGGTTCGTGCTGCAGGTTTATGAAAAGCTGAAGGACTACATGCTGATCCCCGTGAGCCAATCTGAACTGGAAAAGGTGGATGGGCTGCTCACCTGCAGCTCGGTTCTAATTAACAAGAAGGTAGATTCCTGAGTGGCAGTCCTTCCCTGCAGCTGGCAATCCTGCACTCACAGGCCAACAACTATCCCCACTACTGTCGTTTTTGTTGACAATCTACTGTGCCACTGTGCTACTAACTCTGGTTCACAGAAGCTCAATTTTAATTGTCTCATTCTGTACCTTCTCCTCCATTCCCCTCATGGTGGTACCTAGACTGGATTTGCTAAAAGAGTTAAGCAACCTAGAAGTTATAGAGCAAATGAATTGTCGAAGTGATTTTTGACTGTAGGGAAACAGCATTTGTATTATCAGTGTGAAAATCATTTAGTTGCCAATACTGTATATGCAGAAGAATGTCTTCTTAGTCTGAAAAGCTGGGATTTTTTTTTTTTTTTTTAAATATATTTTATTGATTTTGTACAGAGAGGAAGGGAGAGAGATAGAGAGTTAGAAACATCGATGAGAGAGAGTCATCGATCAGCTGCCTCTTGCACACCCCCTACTGGGGATATGCCCGCAACCAAGGTACATGCCCTTGACCGGAGTCGAACCTGGGACCTTTCAGTCCCCAAGCCGACGCTCTATCCATTGAGCCAAACCGGTCCCGGCTGAAAAGCTGGGATTTATTATTAATCGTCTTTGGTTCCCTGGTCCATGGATTCTCCTTCTTCCTCCTTTTTTCTAGCAAACTCTGAAGACTTTTTTTTTTTTTTCCATTACTGTCTTTTGCTTTTCTCACTTCTATCACACTCACCTTGACCTTGTGTAAAATCAGGAGTCTTGCCTTCTGGGTACCTTCCTGCAAGTTCACCCTGTCTGTCACCGGTCTCCTCTGCCTCATGGCGACATCTTCCACTCTCCCTCACAAGGGCAAATGGATCCCTCAGCAGAACTGTGATCACAGCTGTTTGGAGGTGAGTTTACAGCACAGAGGCACATCCGGACGGGGTTTCCCCAGAGATCTAAATTCCACAAGAAGTAGGGCACCACACCTATGAAGGTGAATTCAGCACCAGATGGTTGCTAGGGAATTGTAGATCAAGAGGCTTGGAAATACCCCGGGGCTATAACATCTTAGAAAGTCTTTAAGTCGCATTCCATGAATTTTTGCTTCCTTACTGGCCATATATAGACCCTGAAGAATATAGTCTTATTTTCTCTTCAGCTCATTCCAGCCCACCACTTCCCTCTATTGTGATTTATCCTATTACTGCCCTTCTCCCACCGGCAATTATCCTGGCCTAGCAAAGTTATTTCTTCCCAAGCAGACATCCCATCTAACACTGACTCTTGATGTCTGTGTGAGCTGGATGAAGCATGCTCAGGAAGTGATAGGCTGGGTACTTGAGACCAGCTGCTGACAATGGGCAGTTCTATGAAATAGTCTTGAACATTTACTGTGGAATTCAATTAAAACTGCTTTCCTCTCTAGCCTTTAAAGTACACAACCTTGAACTGCCAGGGAGCCCTTACATAAAACAATGCCACAGTGAAGGGAGAGATCATTGACACTTAAGCCTGAAAGAATCAGCCTGTTGGCAGGAAAATGGTACTTTCCAAGGAAGTGTGGCTGATCCAGGCATGTTCCTGATTTTCTAGTCATCTCCACCTTTCCCGTAGTGCCTGCGGCTTGTTGTTTCAGAGTAAGAATCAGGGAGATTGAGAAATGGGACTTCAAGTCTTGCTCTGCTCACCTATGTGTGTGTAATCAGACATTCCATATGTTTAATGATCAAAAGAGAGTTACCTTTATGCCCTTCATCTCCCCCTTAGCAAATGGGGAGGAACCCAAAACACCCCTAACCACTCTCTGTCTTTTTCATTTATTTGATGACTTCTTGCCAGAATTGGAAGAAATTCCTTCTCTTCCTCGTTGATTCACTTTAAAATTCATTTCGCATACAAATATCTAATTATATACATCCTATGATTAAACCATACCTTGGTCCATGTCACATTTCCAACTGTCTCATCATGAGTGAATAATATGTTTTTACCAGAGAGAGAATGAATGTTACCCACATGCCCAAGTTGATCAAGAAAAATTATCCTCAGCAGTTATGGTTGCCCTTTATGCTGGCAAAAGCAGAAATCCCCTTGGGAAATGTCAACCTCTCAAAAAAAAAAAAAAAAACATGGGAAAACTAACACAATCAGCTGGTGTATGTTATTATTAAAGCAAACTGGCACATAATCTTCAATGTCTATTTGTATCATCCCAAGTTAAAGAACTCTTCTCTATTATGTCTAATCACTTGCAAGGGAATAGATTTCCCTTTTGATTAATTTGTCCAAATAAGACTGTTTTCACTTTTCCTTTTCTTTGCTACTTTCCCTCTTTCCTTCACTTTGTCTCAAGAAACCCCCTAGAATCTGTGTGCCTCTTCAGAATCTTATTCTGCACAGCTGTGTCATAGACAAGGCTGGCTTCTTTAGACTACCTATGATAGGATGTGAAAACCTAAACTATCTGCAGCATAATAGTGTTCCTTTTTTATGTTCTCATCAGATGAGCATAATGTTACCTTTGAAAGAGAAAGATAACTTCTTGTCTATTGTGATTTATAGGGATAGCTAAACTAACAGGAACTGCTTTTTGACACTATAAAGACATTAGTAATTGTATTTAAATAAGTAAAAGTTGAGTTATTTGGTCAAGTAAGATTCAGTTTAATAAGGACAATATAGAGAAAGTACGTTATTTAGCATTATTTCTTCAACTAAGATGGATTGCTATAGAAATCAACAGGCAGACCTCGTAGTATATACTGATTGCTCTTTTAAGCTACTGTGAACAGATAGATTGCTACGGCCATGTCTTTATCTCTAAGGGGAGAAAATAGTCTGTAGATGAATACTGTGATATATCTAGAGCTGCATGTTAGTCGTGGTGATTATTTACTCTCTAACATTCTACAGAACTCAGACAATTTCCAAATGGTGTTGGGTTTATGCATTTCATTTTATTGACCACCGTGTTCCAGCCAATGTATGGTTATCCACTCTGTGTGCCAAAACCAGTAATGCCTTCACGGCCCTTTAGTCCAGAGAAGTTCTGCACTGATTTTAGTCTCTTGCTGTCCTGATCCTACAAGTGTACCAGTTACAATGGAATAAAGTGTCAGTTGTGCTGTGATCAGCAAGTATGTCTGTCTCTGTCTGTCTCTCTCTCTCTCTTTTTTTTTTTTTTTTTTAACAGAGATTGCTATGGTGAATTAAGTAATCATTTCCTTACTATCAGAGATGGAAAGTCTTTTTTATTCTCTTATACACTACAGAATTAGAAATACCATGCCTGTGAATCAACTGCCATCAGTAGCTTTAATTAAAATGATATTTTAAGAGATACTTTATATTTTCAGACACTTAAAAATGTGCATGTTCTCCATGCCAGGTCAGGAGAGCTTGATTTCCTGTTAGAGAAGCTTCCCTTGTTCCTTTGACACCTAACTGTGGTTAGTACATTACATGGCTCAGATATGGAGGCAGTTAAACAATTTGTTTCTTCTCTCATACAAGAGTTTATTTGTTTTTTTGATGTTTGATTGGTTGATTTACAGTAAGCATCTTTTAGGAAATGTGAATATTTTAATTTAAATTTTATTTTTTAATTACAGTTGACATTCAACATTATTTTACATTAGTTTCAAGTGTAAAGTGTAGTAGTTAAACAATTATATACTTTACAGAGTGTTTCCCCTGATATTTCAGTACCCACCTGGCACCATACATAGTCATTACAATATTATTGACTATATTTTCCATGCTGTACTCTACAGTCTCATGGCGATTTTGCAACTACCAATTTGTACTTCTCTATCCCTTCACCTTTTTTACCCAGTTCCCCTAACCCACTCCCCTCGGGCAACCATCAGTCTGTTCTCTGTATCTATGAGTCTATTTTTATCTTGTCTGTTTGGCTTTTTGTTCTTTAGATTCCACATATAAGTGAAATCATATGGTATGATAAAGGAAGCAAAAACATACAATGGGGTAAAGACTGTCTATTCAATAAATGGTGTAGGGAAAGTTAGACAGATACATGCAAAAAATAAAACTAGACCATCTTCTTACACCATACCCAAGAATAAACTCAAAATGGATCAAACACTTAAATGTTAGACTCAAAATTATAAAACTCATAGAAGAAAACATAGGCAGTAAAATCTCTGACATTTCTTTCAGCAATATTTTTCCTTATATAATCCCTCAAACAAAAGAAACAAAAGGAAAAACAAATGGGATACAACAAAAGGAAATGTGAAGGTTTTTTAATGAGGCTTTTTTATTTTCAATAAATGTTTTTCTAACCGAAAGTAGCTTTGTTTTCTTTTTCTGGTTGTAGAAATAACTGCTTACTGTAAAAATAAAATTCAAACAATACAAAAGAAATTACAAAAACAAAAGTAAAGGAAAAAATTACTCAAAATTTCATCACCTAGAGGTAGTTACTATTAACATTTTAAAGACTATCCACACATCTATGAATAAATGTAGGTATAAATATGAAATAATTTTACATAATTATGCTGTTTTATAACCTTCTTTCTTCGCTTACCAATATGTTGTGGGCACCTCTCCATGTCAATAAACACAGATCTCCATAAATTGTAACAGCCCTGAATGTTCCATGATACAGTTGGTGAAGCTCTTTCTAATTTGTGGAGTGTTATATCACAGATGTTTGGTATGCCCACGTTACTAGTAGCTGGGAAAGGGGGTTGGGGGGACAGTCTTTAAACTGCCACACACACAAAAATGAGTTGCTTATGAGGTTTCCCACATACCCAGAGTTAGTCCGATCTGGTTTCTTCTTATTGTAACTGAATGGTGTGTGCAAATGCTCACCAGTAGCATAGACCAGTGCTAAATTCCTTGGAGAGGTCATTGATTTCATCTCTACCTTCTCGGTTGAGGTTGCACTGATTAGTTCTCCTGAACTTAGGTTGTCATTGATATGGGTGATGAAGCTAAATAACGCCAGTGGCTATCCTGGCAAACTTGCTCTGGGGCCCAGTAGGAAATGCAACCCT